CACTGTCTCGGCCCTTGGGAGACGAAGTGTCTTGAAAGCGGCGCGCTAACTTAGGCGAGTTACCTCGACGTAAACAACGGTTCAGTCTTTTTCAATGCGCCCGTCATGAGTTTCGATTAATCGACGAACAGACGTTCCTTCAAAGTGAATAATTGCTAAATCATTACTCACTTAAAAGTTAGTGCGGCGAGCTTCGATCACACCGATCAGAAGAAAAAAAAAAGCAGGAAAATGTACGCGTTTACTTGGATGTCTTGGAAGTATTTGCACGAGGACGCACCAATCCTGAAATACGGATTGTGTCCACGAGAGAAGTGCAACGCCAGGCGCTGTGCGCAAAGGAAAGCCACAAAGCACAAAACTATCGTGCAGTTGGGTGCTAACAGCAAGCAAAAGCCGCTTTCATTCCTGAAATCGCAAAGGTCGAGTAAAGAGAAAAACAAAATATAGCGAAACATTTCTACAATGTCGAGTTAATTCAAGAGATTCGTTGAATATTCTACGAATGGTTCGTAAAAAAATATGCGGAGCACTCCACGCCATAGGGGAGTTGCTCCACATATTTCGACCACCCGGAGTTCTTCATCGCTCTCTTCATTCTAAGCACACGTGACTCTTTGGCTTCCATCGATATGCGGCCGAGATTCTACGCCACGACCTTCGCGCATGTGGTCAAGCGGCACAACACCACAGCAGCTGCTCTTCCTTGTTAAACTAGTAAAAGCTTGAGATTTTGGAGCCGCGAAAGAAAAGGGCCCGGTTATTTTTTTTCTCGAAAAAGTACACTAAAATTTCACAATTGCCACGTGAACTGATTAATGGCGATGTACCGCAGCAATGTATACACTTGGAGCTGAAATACGTAGTCTCATTGCACATAAAGGACGAGCTAGAGAACAGCCGGAAAAACCACAACTTGACGCCTCGATTCCTCAGGAGCAAAACAAAAGTGATATTTCTTTTTCTTTTATTTAAATGCAAGCAGTTGAAAATACGCGAGCGGTTTAGGAAGAGACGCATGCAGGTGGTTCGTACACAAGGCCTACCGCCGAATGTCCGTTAAAAAAACGACACGACAAATAAATTTAACAGCGACTTCGAATAATTAAGTTCCATACCGTAAATAACAGAATCGACAGCTATAGAAGAAATGAAAAATAAAAATAACGCAGCTTCGCAGTACTGAACCCAAGCCCGAAGCTGGGCAGCCTTCCTTTTTTTTTCTCCATTCTCGTTATCCCGGTTGGTCGATCTCTTTTCGTATGTATATTCCTTTGTCGCTCTTTCGATTCATTGATATGTGGGGTTTAATGTCGCAAAACCATCATATGATTATGAGAGACGCCATAGTGGAGGGCTCCGGCAATTTAGACCTCCTGGGGTTCTTTAACGTGCGCCCAAATATGAGCACACGGGCCTACAGCATTTCCGCCTCCTTGGAAACGTAGCCGCCGCAACCGGGATTCGAGCCCGCGACCTGCGGCTCAGCAGCCGAGTACCTTAGCCACTAGACCACCGCGGCGGGGCTTTGTCGCTCTTTCCTTATCTCCCTCTCTCTCTCTGTCAATATTTTTCGGCCACCCTTCCCTTTCTCTCTGCACTCGCTCACTCTCCAATATCAGAGCTGCATCCCACGCCGGACAAACGCGCACGAATCTTCTGTGAGCTCGTGAAGAAGGAGGCACGTGATTCATGTCGATGGTAATTCCTGTTCGCGACTAACGGAGTTGCTCCGAGCTCGCATGGCTCAAGAAATAACACAGACGCCGATTTTCTGTTCCTTCTTGTGAGGAGAAAGACACCGGCCAAAGAAGTGCATGAATATCAACATTATGGAACCTCATCTGGTACTACGGCTACAACAGTAACTATCACATTTCTCTTTCTCCAGTGCAGGGTAGCATACCAGAATTTTTGTTGTGTGGTTAACATCCCTGCCTTTCATTCAACCTTATTCTCTCTGTCTCTGATTCGTGGCTGCACTAAAACACACACGCACACACACGCACACACACACACACACACACGCACACACACGCACGCACACACACACGCACGCGCGCACACGCACGCACACACACACGCGCACACACACGCACACACACACGCACGCACAGGCGCGCGCACGGATAACAGATGAGATGTATACACGACGGCCGCAAACTTATTTCCGTTTTGTCCGCGTTTATTTTATTTTTTTAGCGCAGATATAATCAAGTCAAAAGTGTGCACCAACTGGCCCAAGTGAAAGCGTGGCTACAGAAGAAAAAAAAAAAAAGAAAGCGCATTGCCCCGATTCTCCTGTTGCAAGCGACGTATAACCACGAGATAGAACGCTGGCTCAATAAATGGCCAACAGCAACGAAAAAACAACAACAAACAACAAAAAAACAGATCACTTTTCTGAAGAGGGTGTTTCGGCCGCGACTACCTCTGAAGACAAAGTTCTGGAGCGCATCGCCATAAAAGAGGCCGTATAATAAATAGCGCCAAGCGATACGTCCCAGTGATATGGGTCAAGTCTAGCCACTAGGCGCGAAAGTAAGTATAGCCGAACGCGAGGGCAACTCGAAACAGCAGCTGTTATCTAAACGACAGGCCACTGACCTCGAAAGCTGCATGGTGGCTTCACGGCGCCACTCCGGTGCCTTACAGAGCAAAACCATACGCGGGAGAAGAAACACAAGTGCAATTGCGAAACATCACGGAGTAGGCTGCCGCAGAACAGCTGTTAAGCCAGAAATAGCCCCTGTTTTAGTGCACACACCACAACGCACCTCACACGGAAACCCTGACGATAAAAAAAAAAGAACTTAACGGTCGTCCAATCAGACAAAGGGAGTGTTCGCAAAGTTTTCTTGGGAGCAAACCTTTTAGGTCTACATATCGAGTATACCCGCGCGCTGCCCACACCACCAACGAGAACACGAGCAAGGCTCCCCCTAACTCGCACCGTTCGAAACTGAGCGCAATCAACCACAGCTAGACACTTCAAGTACGCCGCAGTCGATTAAAGGGCTGCTCCCCGCACTCGACGCAACTACGCCGTTTTCTAGACAGGTCCCGAATGAGCTCGCTGAAGTTGATTCCGAAATACGGTCCGTCTGTTTCGTCGCAGTCAGCGTCGGCTCTTATGTGCCCCCTTCAACGAACGTGTAGTATAAATATATATAACCATTAGCGAGTTTGGACGTTAACGTACAACGCGGCAACAGCAGCACGTTGCTTAGCTATCAGCGTGGCGAAGAAGTGCGTGGAACTTCCGGAGCCCTCCACTACGTACGGCGTCTCTCATAATCAAATAGTGGTTTTGGGACGTTAAACCCCACAAATCAATCAATCAGAAGTGCGTGGAACTTGCCCGCAATTCACGACATGCCCGCCGCCAAAGCGTGCCGCCCGATTAACACTTCGATTGACAGACAGGAACGCTCGCGATCTTTTCCTAAAACCGTCATGCGCAACACACGCAGAAACGGATTCAACTGCATATACGCAGTTACGTTGGATAACCCAGGTACGCAGTTACGTTCGTTCCTTTTTATTTATTTTATTATTACTATTTTCTTTTTCTTTTTACGTCTCAGCTCAGCGCCGCTTCCAATTCCGCACACGCGCGCTTCGCGGCAAAACACGGCGTCAGCTGTGGCATCTGCACGAAGCATAAAGCAAACACACTCCGGCCCACAGGCGAATTCACATGCGCGCGATGCGTGTGAACCTGAGGCTAGTTGCACTGTACTTACAGCGCATAAAATAGTTTATGCGCTGTAAACACAGTGCAATTAGCCTCAGGCGCCACGGCGCGAACAACTTGACTGGTTCAATAAAAAAAAAAAAACTTCACTTCAGCAGAATAAGGCAGTCATATTTACAGGAAAAACAAGCAGATATCTGACTACCAAAAAAAAAAAAAAAGGCGGAATAGTGAGCGAGAGTTGGCCGTGATGAATATCAGCGACTCGCTGACGCCTGCTTATCATTGTTATTGTAGCAACACAATGCTGATGAGGTAGGAGTCACGCACAACCAGGCCATCTGCGTTGCACGCTTAAAACAGCTGATCGCGACGCGCGTCCGCAGCGCGAAAGCTCCCTCTTTTCCGGTCGGTGACGATGGGACCAGGGGGCTCACTTATATCAATTTCTCGTACTGTCGGCTCGGTAAATTATATCTTACAGTACGACGAGCTAGAAACGGAGGAGGGGGAAGTAAAATCGCTGCGTGAGAGGCAAAGTGCGCGTCTATAGTCGCGCTTATACCCTGCCTAGAACAAAACACGTTATCCATGCAGCGCATGACCAATGTCACGAGGGATTAAATGCGGTATCTTCATTTAAAACCATACAAGAGGGTTTTGGAAATACGAGCGCACGAATGCAACTAAAAGATAAGCGATCCGCGCGTGTGCGGAAACAGTGCAGAAACTCGTCGCTTCCAAAACGTGCCACACAGACACCCACAAACTACAAAGAGCACAAGTGAACCATTCACTCGTTCTCACAGCACTCTATACGGCCCCTTCTTCTAGAAGCACAGTTCTCATCAGCTGAGAGGCAACAAAGGGATCTACCTGCTGCCATTCATTGCGCAGGCTTCTCCAAGCTTGTACTAATTACGCCACAAAAAGACTCCTTCAGACGCAAAACAATCGTGCGCGCGAAACACGGCCGTCGGTTTTTCACAAACGAAAAAAACTGAGACTGTCACTCACCAACGAGCTAATCCGCCCTGTCACGTAGATCTTGGTTGTCAAAACTAATGTTATGTAAGGAAGCACCATTGACGTCACGCCGTTAGCGCCATCTCCGATGCGTTTCGTCATGAAAATGCGTTGTGATTGTTGCTGCGTTTGGCGCCAAATTTCTGGCTACATTAGTAGCTGCAGTTAGAGGCAGATTATAACTCTGTACAGTTGAATGACAATAAAGACCAAATACAAAGTATTCTTGACACTCCTTGACGGCGCCGCCAGTGGCGTCGCGGTGTTTGGGCGAACTACTTCGGCGCCTGCAAAAGCTGAGAACGTAAGCGGAGGAGTGAAAACGCCGGTAAAGTGTTTGCAAACATGGCTGTCAACCTATTGAAGCACAAGGATGAGCTCCTTAGCGCATGGAAAGAAGTAGTTGACGACAAAGACGGGACCAATTGGTAATTTCTCGGCTTAAGTTACTCTTGTAAAAAAAGGGAAGCCGGAACGCCGCTCCTGGAGTGGCTTGTCGTGGCAGGAAATGCCATCTGTTTCTTTCAAAGTTATTCGTTGTGAGCCGAAGAGTTCCTGCATTAATTAGAACATTGTATCAGGGCTGATATCCATTTACCTTGCCGTTACGAACACCACTGCCCTTATTACAGGCACATTTGTTTTCGTGCACGAAATTCTCTCGCTGCTCATCTTGGCTTGTCGGGGTTCGCGGTTGTTTCGTTTATAGACTAATCAAGCTGACTTGGCTCCATTTTTCAGGGCCTTGTTTGGTTATGATAAGCAGACGTACGACCTTTGCTTGGTCGGAAAAGGAGGTGAGGCGATATGCAACAACAACAAGTCGTTTTGTCCTTATTGTGTTTTTCAAGACGTGAACATGTACGTTATGCATTACTTGCTGCAGCTGGAGGCCTGGAGGAGCTGACTGAAGAATTAAACTGCGGAAAGATAATGTATGCATTCTGCCGGGTGCAAGATCCCAACACCAATATCTCAAAATTCATCCTCATAAACTGGGTACGTGTCCGAACGGATAATTTGCGGGGTTTATGAGGTCAGTGTATTTTCTGCTATGGTCGTGTTAGTTCTGTTGTGGTCATATTCCTTCTATGGTCATGCTCGTTCATACACTGCGCAAGCCAAGCATAGTGTATGATATGTTGGTGTGTAATGATATCAAAAGAAATGGCGCATTTTTGTAACTGTCAACAACCGCGTTGAATGGCGGAGCATGCCAAACTGAAATGCCTTTTTCACGCTCGTAATGTTAATTGCCGAACCGCGCGTTCTTAATTTTTTGCAGCAAGGTGAAGGAGCACCGCTAGTAAAAAAAGGATGCTGTGCAAATCATTTTATGGATATTAGCAACTTTTTTCGGGTATGTATGGATTCGTGTACTCGTTTCGTTTTTGTGACCCCAGTGACGTTCATTCGTTGAGCATGAGGTTGAGATTTGTCGTGCTAATCTTAGTGGGTGCCTTTTCACTGTGATGAAATGCAGAAAAGGCTTCGGTACTTACAGAGTGGTTGGGCTACTACCTTGCCATTGATTATTTACTTTTTCAAGTGCGTCGCGCATTTACATAACTCTGCCCTGCTCTTTAAAACTCCTTTCTCACAGCTGTGCAGGTGGTTAGTCGAAATTTGTCACAGAGTGCTTATCACATATATCCTAAACTTTAGGATATTAACAAAATGATTTTCTTTTCTTGAAATAATAGCTTCTAGGGTGTCAGAAAAAAGAATAAAGGTTTTATTCACAAGAATTTTTTTCTAACAACGGTTTTGGCACCGTCCAACATATAAAACACTAGGCACCTGAGATGTTGTGTTTTGTCAATTTGGAACGTATGGCACATGCCGCACTACTTCTTAGTTCAATGGTATCATTTGAAACATTTGCACGCACTGTGATGCCACATGTTTTACGTCTGGTGGTCTTCCCATGGCTATGAGCACACTTTGTTTGCTTTTTTTTTGGGTGATCACCAAGTCGTCAGTGTGGACAAATCAGCCTTTTGCTTCCAGCAAAGACTGGCGGGTTTTTCCACACGATTGCTTGTAGCCATATCTCTTTATGTACGACATTGCTACTGCCCTTCGAAACATTCTCAAATCCGTTTTGTCCCTCTGCTTTCCGTACAACTGGAATGCGTTCACAAATGCATCAAGAAGATATGTTGGCAGGGATGACTATCATTTCATACCTCTCATGGTAGTGTGGTACTTTGAAATACTTTGATCCAGTTGGTGAACCTCGCCCACGTTTGCATTGTATTTCGAAATCACAAAATGCTGCTCTATTGTGACCTTGGATCACTTTTATCTAGAGTAACTTTGTACCATTTGCTGCGGTCCAAGCTCATGACCATTTGAGATGCCGGTAACTTAGCTATTGTTCTTCCAACGGCATACAAGAATTTCTTGTTCGGTGTCGACTCTGTCATCGTAAAACCCTCGAGACTTTTTTTTCATTTGTTTCTGCATGTCTTCTTTATTGCCGCTTTATTGAACCTGTCCCTGCACCAGCATAATTGCCGGGCGGAAGAATGGCAACAAGTGAATGCACATCGTCGCCAGCTTCCATATGATCCAAGATGTCAATGAGTGCCCGTGGGTATTTTCTTGAGCGAAATGAACTGCTGGGGAAAGCTCCAGAGTGCAAATAAAATAAAAACATGAGCGTTATACACATGAAAACATGAACATTATACACCCATATGCATGTCAGTGTATTACGACAAGCCTCACGGGCACGACGTGGGACGCTTTCTAAATTGACACAGCACCACACGCCATGTGCCTAGCGTCCTATATGTAGGACACCATTGTTTTACAGACCGCAAACAATAAACTTTACCGCATATTACAATTGTACAAATTTCACTGCACACCCAATAATCGACAAAAACACCAAAAAAATATTGGCAGTATTGCGAACAGTTTGAATCTATATTACTTTCATTTTCTCACACGGCATGGTGCTCTGCTTCATGCACGTGAAACACCAATTTTGTGACTGCACTAACGAGGCAACTGGTGGCTTGGCGATTGCCTTGACTTGCGCGTGAGAAGGGCAGGGCGTCGTCAACATGCGTCAGGTAGCGCTAACTTTTTTCACATGGAAACATTCGATTTAGAACGAAAAGTTTCAGTGTCATACATGTAGGACACTAAGCATATATGGGTTAAAAGGAAAGATGCTACCCTAAAAATGCAACTCTTTTCCCCCCCAAAATTACGTATTTTTGTTTTACTTGCTTTCACAAGTTTAGTTTTTCACTTCCATGACAGGAATAATGAAGGTTGTAACTTGGCTGGAAGTAGGTTATAATCGCTTACAAAGAGCACAAGGGGGCTATGAGAAACTAAAAAGAGCTCATTGTCTGGAGTCCCTATGAAATTGTTCCCTGGCTGTTTGCCATTGCATTTCGCACAAGTTCACCAATGCCACTTGCTCAAAATAACCATGCTTCCCAAGCTCTGTATATTGAAAGGCATGTCGTTGCCACATAGATGAGCTCTGATTTCTATGTTTAAATTGTGTTTTTCTCAAGATGCCTTTAGTACTTCTCATGGCCAGATAGGGATGAAATTTTTCCCACGATTTGTTAAAATGTGAAGAGTGCAATTATCTTATTTAAAGGATGATATTGCTTATATAATTATTATGAACTTAAAATAAGCAGTTTGTATGGGGTTCTCACATAATGCAATTTTTATTGTTAATTTAAAGGTCTTATACATAATTTCTTGATAATTATTCATATAGTTAATATGAAGTAATATGAGTCTATAATGACTTATAATCATAAAAGTGCAGGGGCAAAAAAAAGTGTGTCCAAAAAGAGCATTGCCATAGTACAAAACAAATACTATGCGACTTGCTATGCCCCGCCGCGGTGGTCTAGTGGCTAAGGTACTCGGCCGCTGACTCGCAGGTCGCGGGCTCCTATCCTGGCTGCGGCGGCTGCATTTCCGCTGAAGGCAGAAATGTTGTAGGCCCGTGTGCTCAGATTTGGGTGCACGTTAAAAAACCCCAGGTGGTCGAAATTTCCGGAGCCCTCCGCTACGGCGTCTGTCATAATCATATGGCGGTTTTGGGACGTTAAACCCCACATATTATCATGCGACTTGCTATAAAATTGACTGGATATTTGAAACCAGGATAAAACATGTGTAAACAGCAAACGTTTCATCGCTCTTGGCTACAAATTAAGGAAACATTTTTTTCAAGTAGCATAAATAGACATTTACTGTGTGGATACAAGGGAAACCTATTATGATACTGGTGCATATGATGCTAAAATGGAGAATAGGCCACACAAAAAAAGAAAGATCACTGCATTTGAAGCTGCTTGAAGATAATTATGGGGCGAAGCTTTCGGAGGTGATTATTGTGATTAAAGTTGAGATAGTACTGAGAATGATTGTGGTTGTGATACTTATATATTTTTTTTATTCAAAGTGATAGTGCTTAGACCGATTGTGATATAGCGGGGATTCTTCTGTATAGCTGATATGAGGTTCTGAGTTCCGGGTTATGTTTTGACTTCATAATCACAGCTTCATTAGCTGTCGTCTCTGGTGTAGAATATTCTTGTCAGTATTTTCTTGCATCCGCTTCAAGTTGTCTCAACTGCGCGTCAGCTTGGCATTTTTCTTGCTTAGCTTTTGCTTCCTTAGCCCTAGTTTGTGGTGTAGAACTTTGTTGTCGCCGCTTTGCATCCGCTTCCTTCTCTTTTGTCTCCGCGGTAGCTTCCTGTCGACGGTGACGCTGATACTCAGCACGTCGCGCTTTTTTGCGTTTGTCTACGTCCATATGAGAGAAGAGAATGTGTGGTATGGAACGTGGTTATGTATATATATATAGCGTTGACAGCAGCGCCATCACATCTGCAATTAACTACAGTGCCCTCTGTTGCTTATAAGTTGAAGGTTACTTGCAAAACGGTTACCACCAACGCCCTCTGTTGCTTATAAATTGAAGGTTACATGGTGTTACGGACAGACGGGAGACTGCGGACATTGTGAGGTCTTAAGGAGCATCGCCCCTAAAAGACGCAGCACTGTGTCTTATGTCTGATTCTCATCATGTGTGCTCTTTTAATTGCAAAGTACAAGGTGTAGCTAAGTTTGTTTTTGGTTACCTTTTTAATTACAAGCCTTCAGGAAATTTCGCTTGCGCAAGTCTCTTATTGCAGGCTTGCATTGCAACCCGAAAGCAAGAATGAGTGTCTGATTGTAAAGAATTGAAGTGCAAATATGAAGCAGGATGTTAAAATAGGATTTAGAAAGATGGGTGCTGAAAGGCCGTGAAATCAATTTAAAGTAAGTCCGAAAGTTTTGCTTAGCTGTTTACTTGTTAGGTATATGAAACTGCTTTATAAAATGCAGTGACCATGCTAAATCACATAATATGTTTGTATATGTTGTTTTACTCATCAATTAAATGACATTCTGACAGGGTGCACACATCACAGTCACAGCAAGGAATGAGGATGATGTCGATCCGTCACTCATACTGGACAAGCTATCGAAATGCACCGTCTCTTCTTTCAGCCTTAGAGAGCGAAGTGACCCAACAGAGAGTTCAAAACCAATTGTAAGTACGCACCAACAGTCACTTTTATTACATTATCCACCATGTTAGCTCACAGGTAACAGCGTTCTGATGCTGAGCGTGAGGTTATGTGTTGATTTATTGATTATAATGGCCACAGGACTGCATTCTGACAAGTGCAGCACTGTCCAGTTTAATTCAGGCGCGCATTAGAAAACTCGTGTATGTCGAAGCTAATCTCGAGCTCTCCACCATGGCCTGATAGTTCGTGTTTCTCTGTGATGCATAATTTTGTCAGTCAATAAGTTACCATTTGTAATGAATTGCTCTATTTTGTTCTTTTTCAACTAGGGAAGCGTCTACAAGCGCATACAACCAGCTAGGGAGATCTCCACTACAGAGAGAGAAAAATTTTGGATGAAGGAGCAGGTCTGGCACAATTCCCTTTCTGACATAGACCAACTGTATCAACTGCTTTGCTCTTTTTGGATTCTTTGTTTGAGGAGAACTACAGTAGGTAGTTTTACTTGAGAAATTCAGAAACCTTTTTAACAGGTTATACATTATGTCCTTGAAACATTATTAGTAGAATGTTCATCTACCACACCCTATTGGGTGTTTCTACGAAGTCTTCTATCAATATCTAGAAACAATGATATTGAATGAAGTGGGTAGTTTTGCTGATGACATCTCGTTACTTGTAGTAGCCATGTAGTAACATGTGACACTCAATTAATCCCTTATTAGCAAATATTTAAACTCAATTATAACCTAATAACTTGTCTAGTTCACTCATCCTAGTAGCAAAATGGAAGTGAGCGCTTTGTTTGTGAAAGTCAAATCAGATTTTAGATTTGAAGAAATGCGATTACCCCTAGAGTTGTGGCAGGTGTGAACGTCCCATCCTTGCAGCACTCAAAACCAAGGTCAGTGGTGCAGAAATGCGCACATAACCTCATCCTTCAAGGTAGCACTGCTTACACCACTGAAATGTAAGCAGCTGTTCTGCTGCTAAGAACTGAGCTGTGGGGTGCTGGTGCTGATTGCCCTCTATTGTTCAAAATATTTCAAAAAGGGGCAAAAAAAAATACGATTTTTGGGGCTTTTCCATAAATGCTTGCAGGTGCATATTGCTATAGCTACTGTGTGTGTATGTGCATGTTATGTATCTGTAAACTTTTTTGTAAAACTGATGAACATTGCAAGCTTTAACCTTTTAAGGGGGAACGTGGCAATGATAATTGTAAATTTGGTCAAAATGTTCAGTTTTTCAAATAATATTTTTTTGTAATTCTGAGACCATGGTTTATATTATAGTGTGATTTTAGACCAAAATAAGTAATAAAAGTTGAGAAACAAGCATTTTACTGGTGGGCTGTCCTCAAAAGCTATGTGAAAATCTGTGATAACAGAATGCGAATTTGCAGCTTTCTATTGGCACAGTGCTGCCATATTGGCATCATCATAAAGTGGACAGATTGGAGCTCAAAATAGCCACAAAGATGCATTACTCCAATGAAAAATAAAGCCAGCTTCCTTTCGAATTCCATTTAATCAGCATCTAGCTCCAATTTCCTTGAGCTCCATTTTCTCAGCTTTCATTTTTTGAGCAGTTGCTGTCAGTCATCCCTGTTCCATTTCACAACAAATTAAGCTATAGCCATTCCGTTTCCTGCACTTAGGTTCTCAGACTCTGGTGAGTGCCGTAAGGCTGTCCATATTTGTGTGCACATGAAACAGACTTTTGTCATTGGCTTTTTGTAAAAGTTGTTGATAAAAGGATATGTCCGGGACATTTGAAAAAAAAAAACTTTTGTGTGCTTACCTGAATATTAAAAATAAACCAATAGCATTACGACGCAAAATAGACCCTTGTGAATATACTTATGCAAAAATTTTGATGAACTTGTGTCTAATTAGCTAATTTTTTGGGGGATGACAGTGAGAGTATATCAAATATTCTAACTTAAAAGTAACATTAGATAGCTCAAGACCGATTTCATTTGTGATATCAGCACAACAAATGACATCTGCATGCCGAATTTCATCCCTTTAGCTTCATAAATTACAAAGATAATTTTCATTGCCACGTCCCTACTTAATGCCTGAATTATGAAACTGCCAAAGGAAATATATTTTTTGTTTGGTTTTCCAGCTTTACATTGCAGCCTTTAAATGATTCCAAAGTTAAATTATCTAAAATGCACCTTTAATGCATACTTTTGTGGATGCCGCGAATTCTCCACATGCCACAGAAGCGAGGACCTTGCAACAAAAAACGTACTTCAAAACTACGCAACGTGTCATGTGCCAGACCTTGAGTGCCTACACACCAAATAAACAAAATTATTGAAAATAGACTTATGTCAGCCAGGCAAGAAAGTACGAAGTGAGCGCTCTTTCATGTGTTTTGCGCTCTCAGTCATCAGCTACAAAACAATTAGTTCAAGCATAAAATTCATTGATTGAGACAGTACTAGATTTTCCCTGCTGACAGCTACGTTCCTCGTGAGTACTTGGAAGCTAGCATTAAAGGCAACACGCATTCTGTGAATTGCTTACTCAAAGTTATTCGGTATGTCGCGAATTCGTGACATCAGGCAGTAAAGGTTTGAGGGAGGAGTGCCACTGTTAGCAGTTGTCTTAAATGCATGCTTGTGCTGGCATGTAATATGCAAGTGTGGCTTATCTGATATATACAGGTGTGATGCATATGTACACTGAAACATGTAAACCAAATGTTAAGTGTGTTCACCGATGGTAAGCACTCTGACTCTACATTTTGTTTTTTGAGTGCTTCACATGCCTGGCCAGCTTAACCTTTTACAGTTTGAAACCTTTACCCACCTAACATTCCTTCGGTGTGAAACTGAAGGAAACAAAACTCTAGGAAAAGAAATTGCTTAATTGGGGATGACGCAAAATGCAGTGACAAAACACGCACATGAATCAACCACAAAACAACTTGTCGACCAGCAGCCGACAACAGACCACGTAGGGTTTAAACAAAACTGGTGTGTTTTCACTCAAGATGGGCAGATTTTTAACAGTGTTGTTTTATGCAAAACTTTAGCCTTGAACTGCTTCATGGTTCACGCACAATTTCTCGTTTGAGTCTGCTGCTCTTGGTGGATATGCAAATGTTAGTCATTGTGTTATAATAACTGTCTGTTATTTACTAATTGACTTGAAGTTGACTTTACCGTCAGCACACATTTAAGTTAGGAAATCAAAGTCTATGCATGTATTGCTTTATGGGCATTTTACGTCTAGCAGGAGTTTTCTAATAATCTGCCATGATCACACACAGTTGTGTGGTGCAGTGTATTAGAAAAATATTGGTCAAAATCTTAGCAACTAAAGCTGAGTTGGTGGATTTTTTTCTAAATGGATTTGCTTAAGCAGAAACTGGATGGGATGTCACAGTGACCTATGTTGGCATAAATGTTCTAGATTTGCCAAATAATGAAACCCACTATGCCTACTGCATCATTTTTGTTTGCCAAGTTTTCTATCCAAAAATGACTTAAGCAGCATATATAACACAAAATACTATTAATAGTGTTATTAAAACATTGAATTCATTTCACTCATGAAGAGTTGACCGATTACTGGTTAATTATTGAGCTAAATTTTTGTAACTTGCTTTTTTCTACTAATGTGGTTTTCTATTAATGTGGTTTCTACTAATGTGGTTTTCTACTAATGTGGTTTTCTACTAATGTGGAAATGTTTTCTACTAATGTGGTTAATTATTGAGCTAAATTTTCGTAACTTGCTTTTTTTAATTTATGGCTAAAAGGAAATGTTTTCTAATAATGTGGTATGGTTTTGTGAAAAATTACCAAAAGGTATTGACATACTGGTCAGAAGAATCTGCTGTATTTGCTCTGTATGGCCACACATGAAGCTTTATGCAAGAGCAGAACAAGACTGTGACATGACGACTGTATGAGGTTTGACCTTATGCAGTGGGTGTGAACGCAGCTCGTTTAGCACTCTGACTGGCACCAGCAGGTTGAAGCACATTACTTCACATGCTGTGGACTGGAAGATTTGTTTTCTTATTTTTCTGTGAGCAGCAGTTACGAGCTAGGGGAATAAGTCAGCTGCATTAGTTTGTTTATTTTGCCACTGGGGTTCAAATTTGGTCTAAAATGGTACACACTCAGTTTGCTATTTCATGCAAACCAGGATTTAAAATTCGCATTGGTAAATGAGGCCAGAGTAAGCCAGGTGGTGGAATTCGTTTGCCTTGGTGATGTGACAAGCTTGCACGGGGTAAGGATCCTTTTGGACTGTACTGAAGAATAACTAAATAAAATGTAGGTTTGATATATTACTTGACAGAATAACAAATAAAATGTGTTAAGATTGAAAGCATACTGCATATACTTAAGCCATTATTTGCATAGCACATGAGTTAGGACAGGGAAACAGTTCTCAAGATTGCATAGGATGCTCTAAAATAAATATAGGAGTTGAGCGTCTGTGATCGTTTGCAGTCAGAGTCATGTAAGGGAGTCTCTGCTTCCTGTTAACAGAACTTTGCAACTCTGAGCATCTAAAATGATGTGTACATAAGGAGGGCTTTGGTTTTGTGTGAAGTTTGGTTTTGACCTTTGATTTTTCTAGGAAGAAGAGAAAAAACGCATTGAGGAGGAAAAGCTTAAGGCCGAGGCAGCCCGAAATCGTCTGGCTGAGGAAGTGAAGGAGCGGGAGGCAAGTGGTAGCATATACACACAAAAGAAAAAGCAATGCATCAACATTGCATAGATTTGAGGCGTGTCTTTTGAATTGTTGAAGTCGACTGCATTGCTTGGCAGTATGGTCATTTACTTAATGGCATTTTGCAGTGTTTACTGTTTGTTATAATCTTCATGGGTGTGTATACAATTAATGGGACTGGGTTAGCTTTTTATGTTATTTTTCCAGACTGATTGTCTCTGAAATTGACTAAATTATTTTGACTAATACTTCTTTGCAGAGTACGTACACACAGTGTGTTAGGGTGTTAAAGGTTGAACAGAGCTGTCATGTACTACTGAAACATCCATCATATTGTGTTTCCTTGCCTGTATTTCATGTGTGTGTGTCTGTGTGCATTTGTGGTGAGGTTTTGAGAATGCAGAAAAAATGCATTAGAGATAGACTTTGTCCTAGGTCTGCTTGTGCTGTAGGCAAAGTACTATCTGAATTTTGGCATTAGCTATACTTTCGGTTTCATGTTCTTCTTTGAGGAGCTAAAAGGAAAAGGAAAATGATTATTTTAATACCACGGTAAAAAAATGAGTGTTGAGAAAGGCTGTATTTCATGTGTGGCTGCTGGCACTTTTTGAAACTATAACATGAAGCTTGACTGTGCAGCATTAAGGGCTACATAGTTTCAGCTGCCGCTGTGGGAGGCCACCCATGCCTCGTGCACCCTCACCACATGCACACACATGATCAAGGTAAATATACACTGCTAATTTAAAAGTGCTCAAGATCATGACACGCTTGTTCCATGACGTCCTTTTGCTGTGCCGTCCTTCCATGCTTAGCTTCCAGTGCGTGCATCAGGACGAGAGAAGAGAGAAAGCAATTACAGCGTGTGACAAACCTCTGCAACTCCGCTCGTGCTTGATTGATTCTAAGAACTTTTGTAGTGTTGTATTTGTGTGGCAATGAACTGCTTTACAGGAGTACCATTGAGACAAAAATTTTGGACTTTGCAATTTTTTCAGTAGGTAGCTTACGACCTACTCATCACGGCTGGAAACCTCGTTGATGCGAGTGCACAACGGCTATTTATTTAGAGACGTTTTTAGGATTCCCAGTCTCAGTTTCGCTTTCAAAGAGCGCTGAGCGCGGCAGAAGCATTTCCGGGGGCAAGATAAGCCCAGCTGGCCACATGACCGTGCAAAACTGTGACCTGGGCGCCACGCGGGAGGGTATGCGCAAGTGGGCTCGCCTAAATATCCGTTTGGCGTGGAGCCAGCATGAAGTGGTGATGCTCAGCTGCATAGAAGTGCTCAATGTGTGTTTTGGCTGTGAAACCTTCTGAGGGCCCTGGAAAACCAGTATGCATATAAACAAAAGCATGCAAATACTGATGTGCAGATGCTTTCTCCTTGAATGGCCAGAACTTTATCTGAGAGCTTTATTTTATAGACAAGCCAACAGGAACACACACAATGTGCCGTGGCGCTCTGCCAATGTCTAGAAAAGAATCTAAGTAAAATTGAGAACATCACATTTCACAAGTTGCTTCAAAAACTTTAGAATGTCATGAAATAACTTAGAATTATGTAATATGCAAAAAAAGAAAGAGACATTGATCAAAAGATTGCAGGTGCTGTGAGTTCGAAAACCTTCATTGTCAGTTTGGGTTTTGTGTAGGAGAGGTAGGAATAATGGTCCAAATCTTTTAACAGCTCTGGATAACATATAATTCCTTTGCCAAGTATTCTTGAATAGACTAGTAACTCGACAATGCTAAATTCACAAAAACATTTTTTTAATGCATTTTTGAAGGTGTTGACCTACCGAAAAAAGAAATGTTGCATCATGTTTGTTTTTTTATTTATTTATTTATTTATTTATTTATTGATACTGCGATCTTTTACAAGATCATAGCAGGGGTGGTACAAAAGCATAAACATCAGTAGAAATAGGCAAACAAACAATCAAAAACAAATGTAATACAAACTTATGTAACTGATAGCTGCAGTGATTCTTCGAGACAAGAGAATCAACAAAAAGCAAAGTACAAACATAGATAACAATCATTTCTGCAGTGACTCTTCAAATGCAGACAATGTATTTAGGGTTACAACATCGTTATGTAGACTGTTCCAATCCACGATAGTCCTCGGAAAAAAAGAATATTTGAAACAATTTGTTCGTTGCATCAATGGAGAGATAGTAAGATTGTGTCTCTGTCTTGTTTCGTAACCCAATGAAAAGTGAATGATATGTGATGTGTCAACTGCATAGTGACCTTTTATTAACTGGAAAAGAAATTTTAAGCGCAATATTCGATTTTGGTCCGGAATGTTTGGAAGTTTGCTTTCCAAGAGAAGTTTTGTAATTGAAGTAGGACCGTACGAGTTATAAATGAACCTAACAACCTTTTTTGCACCCTTTCAAGTTTTTGAATATCAGTCTGAGTGAACGGGTCCCATATGACCACAGCATACTCCAGTATAGGGCGGATAATGGCATTGTAAGCGAGGAGACGAATACTTGGTGTGGTTGATCTTAAAGAACGCCTTAGGAAAAAAGTTTACGGAGAGATTTAGCTACTACAAAATCTATGTGCTTTGACCAGGATAGATTTTTTGTAATCCAGAGACCAAGGTACTTGTATTGAGTTACTTCTGACAGAATTGTATTGTTGGTAGAGTACTGGAACAAAAGAGGTTCTTTTTAAGGGTAATTCTCATAAAAACTGTTTTAGCGAAATTAACAGGCATCTGCCATTTCTCACACCACGAAATTACTTTTAGAAAGTTCCGATTTAGTTTAATTTGATCGTCAACTGAGGTGATCTTTTCATATAAGACACAGTCGTCGGCGTACAACCTAATGTGAACAGAAAGGTCAGTGACGATATCATTTATATATAACAGAAAAAAAAGAGGCCCAAGGACGGATCCTTGAGGAACGCCTGAGTTTACAGGAGCTTGTTTAGAAGATGTATTTTTTACCGTAACAAATTGACGCCTGTTTGTTAGATATGCTGTTATCCAGTCAAGGATCTTTTTGTTTTGTAGAATACAAGTTAATTTGTGAAGTAATTTAGCATGCGAAACTTTATCGAAGGCTTTTTGAAAATCCATAAATATGGCATCCGTCTGCTTCCCTTCGTTAATTGCTTGAGCAAAGTCATGCGTAATTTCCACTAATTGAGTATTCGTTGAAAAGCCCCGTCTGAACCCATGTTGAACATTTGTTAATACTTTATGAGAATTAAGGAAAGTAATGATATGTTTATGAATAATGTGTTCTAGAATTTTACATGATGTTGATATAAGGGAAATCGGTCGGTAATTCGGAATAGATGACTTGTCTCCCGCTTTGTGTAAAGGCTTAATTTTGGCGATCTTCCAGTCATCTGGCAGTTGGCCCTCATTCAACGAATGGGTATACAAAATAAACAAATAGCGAGAACACCATTCTGCGTAGCGCTTCAAGAAGGCATTTGGAATGCCATCTGGCCCGGTTGATTTTTTAACATCCAGATTCAGCAGTAAGTCTAAAATCCCATCCTCGGAAATGACTAAGTCTGGAATAGGTGGGAGTGATATTGAAAAATTAGGAAGGATGCCGTTATCACAAGTAAAAACAGACTTGAAGTGGTTGTTGAAGGCGGAACAAACTATTTCTTCATTGCATGTTCTTTGGCCGCTTATCGTGAATGAGTCAATCGAGCGAGCAGTTGGCGTGATCAGCCTCCAAACTTCCTCGGGTGATGTTTTGATAAAAGTTGGAAGCGATGTTTCGTGGTATCTTTCCTTGTCGCGCGCTACTTGCAGTTTTAGTTCGCCCGACAGGTTAGCTATCAGCGGTGTATAAGCAGCTTTATCTGAGATTTCGCTCTTTTGCTTTTTATTCGTTTAAGTTTTCGCTGTAAATGTAGCGTTTCTCTTGTAATCCAGGGGTTCCGGCATTCAGTTTTTTTAACGATTTTCGGTATGAAACGCTCCACGCATTCAAAGACAATATCTTTAAAAGTAAGCCACAGATCATTCACACTGCTACCCGAGTGTTTAAAATCATCGTAATGAAAATCAAGGATATCTAGAATGGATTCATCGTCAGCTCGGGAAAAATTCGGAAAGGAAGTTTTTGTACAGCAGCGGTCAACACACATATCTAAAAAAGTTTGCAAAACTGCCCTGTGATCCGAAATACCACTGATAACTTCACATATTGCCGTGTTTTGGATTGAGCCACTCAAAAAAAATAAGTCCAAGATAGATTTTGAACCATTTAGTTCTCTAGTGTATTCTTTAACAACCTGCAGTAAATCGAACGAAAAAACAATATCTAGCATTTCGTGATTAGCATTGCTAGTAGAATGAGAAGAAAAATTTTCCCAGTCAATATTAGGCAAGTTAAAATCTCCTGACAAGATGAGTTTGTCATGTGGCTTTATATTTTGCCGCAGGTAGATTCTAAGCTTATCCAGAACACTATCGGAAGAGTTCGGGGGACGATAAACCGCACCTATAACATAACGAACTTTGCCTATATAGACTTTGCAAAATATGCCCTCAACTTCTAATATATCAGGCAATTGTTGCGGATGTAATGAGTTCTTGAAAAGTATCTAATGAGTTCTTGAAAAGTATCTTGAAAAGTGTTTCTCTGCTTAATAATCAAGGCAGAAGGATAGTATGTGCTTAAGCAATTGACAGTAAAGAAATGGCAGAATTTAAGAACAGGTTATTTTCATATAATACTCATTTGTTTAAATTCATACCCTCTTCAGTGCCAGCAATAGCATGGTACACTGCTAGCCAACATTGCCAGAAAAAAAAATTTTAAGAATTTACAACCTAGCGCAAACCCATAGATGCAAGTCATAGAATGTAATAAATTAGGTTAGCATAGTAAATAGATTTATAGCATGAATGGTTGGCAGCAACACACCTATGTTGTGTAAGCAAGAGTGCTCCATACGTAGCTTGCATTGCGAAGGAATGAAACTAAGTAATATTTTTTCATTAAACTGTAGGGCTTCTGTGAATTGTTGATTTCTACTGATACTGATTGTATTTTTCGTAGATTGAACGTAGTTGAGATATGTGGGTGAGTATGGTCTGAAGTTTGATGTTGATTTTGTGCAGTTGTTTTTTGGATGGATTGAATTGAGTGAAATCACTCAGTGTGATACCAGTGTCATTCATAAATATGGCATCGTTCCTGCTTGTGCAATAGTTGACATGCAGTATCTGATCACTCGTGTTCACACAGATGAAAGATGCTCGAGCAAGAGAAGAGTGGTTTAAAGAACGATCACTCTCAATCGACAAAATGCGAGAGGCAGAGAAGAATGCTCAGAACTCAACACACAACAAGGTGAATAAAAAGCTTTGGGTGAGTTGACTTGCATTTCTATTTGTCCTTTGATTATTGGAGAGAAGCATTGGCTTTCATATTCAGTGCGCTAAATGTGTATAACCTAGCTAAAAACCTGTATAACCTTTCACATTGCCTATGTTTTTTATGATCGAAAATTCGTAAGTAGGGGCTGTGTCGCCGACGTTTCGACAAGTGGACTTGTCTCTCTCAAAACTAGAACAGAACTGATTTATGTAGCGCTAGCGTGTTTACGCTTCATACCTTCTCCTCCATCCTAACAAAGTAGAAGAAGAAGGGCAACATTGGATACGCGCACTGTGTAAACAAAGACGCACACAACAAACGCACAAGTATACGCTGGACAAGTACGAATAACTGTCACAATGCTTACTTCTTCGTGTGTGTGAGCAGCATGCTCTTTTAGTAAATGTGGCCGTGGCAGCAAGCGAAGTGACCTTCATGCTCTCTTGAAACACAAGTCTGATAAGCGCGGGTGCAGGAGAGACCACGTTTCGTGTTGGCGGCACTCTCCAAAATGCGAGAAGCAATGACGAGCTGACCTAATGCACGCTCGTCGCGTCATCTCGCTACTAATGACGAAAACGCGTTGAACTTGTGGAGCTCTAAGGACCGCTAAATGGTATATATGGCTTACATAGATGGCTTGCCATTAGCACTCATGACTGCATGCGCGCGGTGGCGTAGTGAATAGTGCCGCGCACTGCTGTTTAAGAGGTCGCTGGTTTGATGCCCCACGACAGAGCTTATGCATATAGTTTTTTTTTTTTTTAATCTGTTGTGCATATTTTATGTCATACCTGTGACGAAAATATGTCAGCGGGGCCGTGGTGGACCTCGGCGCTAAATACTGTCGCATTAAAGAAAATTACAGCATATTCATGGAGTGAATGATGATGTGTGGGGCAAAGCTTCAGAGGGTTTTATAGGTAAACTGTGAGTCCTGTGTCTGTCCGTCCGTCTGTCTGTCTGTCCATCCGTTCGTCTGTTTGTCCATCCCCATCTGCTGAGTGAGTCACAGAACTAGGCAGCCACGTACCAAGAGAGACATGAGCATGTACAGACCCATGGCTTAAGGATTTTCGCCTCTAAAAAAACCTGTCTGTCACACATAGTCGTAGTGTTTCAGGGAGCCCTTGGTGATTGAACATGCACCAAAGCCAGACGCGGTTTTGGTTCAGGGAGGTCTGGGTCTGAAGCAGCTTGGTTGGCCACCACAGCAGGAAAAGGCACACCTGTTTTGAGGTTCAGGCACACTAGTGTCGTGAGCATCATATGAGGTCACAGGAATAGACAAGGCTGCAGCCACCGCTTGAGATTCATCATGGGCAGCTGGTAGGTCAGGATTTCTCTGTGACAGTGGCACTGGCGTGCCAGCTATTGAGCATTCCAAGTCTCCTTCTGTACTCAAATGTAGGGAATCGAAGGAACGTTGGCAAGCTTCGACATATAGCAGGCTTAGCCACCATCATTCAAGCTTGCCAAAGTTTCTTTGGTGGGACAATGCTAATCTATTGGGCTTTGCCCGCATAGGTTTGAGTCCCACCCTTGTCGCCAATGTGGTATCGTGGCCTGGTGCTGCGAAGAAGAGAGCCGACCAGTTACCATAATCCAATAAAGCCAACTGATCATTTATTACACAACACCCATATATACAAGAGAACAACAGCACCACCAATAATTCTAGACTATGCACTGAAACTGAAACTAGCGACACAACACCAATGACATCGCACCGTGCTGGAGGCTGCCGAAGCCCTCACTGTCCTCGAGGAGTTCTGTGTCAGTTCATGCGACAATGAGCATGCACATTGCACACCACCCATTGGGGCTGAACAAGATTATTTGAGCACGAATTCGGATGATGAGGCAGACAAAAACAAAATAAAGGTTTCTTTTATTAAATAAAGGTTTGTCTGTGCCGAGTACACTTTCCTTTTGTTTTGATGGTACGTTCGATAATACGAAATTTGGTCAACTGGTCATTTTTGGCAGTCCTGTGAAATCTGGGTTAACAAATTTTTACTGTACAGTTAAGTCTGCTTATAACGAAACTTCATATAACAAATTCTTCGGTGTAATGAAGTTTTTTTATTCCCCGCCATTACCTCATAGATGGACATGTATTTGCGACCTCTTCTTTTTATGTAACAATGCAACAGCAGGAGACAACCTTGATAAAGCGAATTTTCGCCATGAACAATCTAGGAAGTATGCCCCTGATTTAGCCATTTTTGATGTGAGCATCTTCCACGGTTGCCCTGCTGCTGACAAATCGCGAAGCGGCAGTGACGCGCTCGTGGCCCCGGCGACGAGCGAGCGCTTGTTATTGTGCGAGGGGGGCAGGCGGGCCTGCCTTTCTTGCAACTTCAGGCGCATGCAAAGATGTGCCCACCCTCCCCCTCCCCTCCCCAACTAAAAAGAAGAAAGATTATTTTTGGGTTGGCAGTGCCACGCTTTTAGTTAGTGTCACATATGTGGGGCCGGGCTGCATATGTAGGGCGCTTTACCGAATAGTTTTCCACGATATGTGTGTCTTTCGCTCTTCGTTCGCATATGGTGTGGCCCCCAACGATGTTCAGCTTTGCTTTTATTTTTTTGTCACTACCTAGGAGATGTCAGATTAGGCGCTGATGGAAACTCTGAAATCGCGATGACAACAGCGGATTTTCAAAGGACGACTCATCACGCGCTTTAGTCTTGCGCCTTGCTGCGAGATCGAGGGATCCTAGCATTCGTGATTAGCTCGGGCAACAACGTGACAGCACGTTGAATGTAGTGCAATGAATGCAATAGCAACAAATGGTAATGTTATACGAAGTATACAGCTCGCAGCCGCCTCTTTTAGATCCGACATTGCGGAACTCCTACTAAACATTCGTGTAGACAAATACGGCTGCTCTAGGAAGAAGTGCTCTTTTCACACAGTCCCTTCGTGTTGAAAGCGGACTGATGCTTGCACAGATAGCACGCGTGCCAGTGATTGCCACTGCGCCCTTAAAATCAAAGTTGATCTTTTCTACACGAGCGACCCCCTCCCCCCTCTGCATTTTTGCATGCTCGTTCAATACGGGTGGTTTCCTTTCTGTTTGAGCGTTCGACGGCAGTTCTAACACATGGGGAAATGTTATCGCATGTACCCTCCAGGCGACAAAGATGGGCCAGCTCATTTTACCTCTGCTTCAGCAGCGTTCGCGCTTTTACCCGTTCGTCATAGTTATGCTCGGTGGCATGTGATTAATCTGGACTTCTTACAGAACATGTTGGCGATGGCAGAAACTCGCCGAGAGTGTCCATATGATGCAGTTTTTTTTTACTGCTAATTAACTGTTTGGGTTAGCTCTGTCTTCAGTTCTGGTTTTATTAAAATTGTGCATTTATTTTTCGAATTTTCGTACCAAACTTGCATATAATGAAATCTTCTTCACAACGAATTTTTCCTGGAATTCATGAATTTCGTTATATCCAGGTTTAACTGTACTTGATGGATTCTAAAAATTTTTGCAACAGTTGATCCATGAGGCAATAACCTCATTTAGTGAAGCCATTAGACAATTACTTGGAAACGTGTTGTGGGACCCTTCTAATGTGGCTTACACTGACCTGAATTCAGTGTCGCTGAGATGTTGCTGAACTGCGTGTTCACTGGAATAGCGGTAATTCATGAAATGAAACGTAACATGTTTTCAGGGTATCGCTTGCATTCTACCAAAAATCAAATCCTGCTGCTATTTTCCAAGTTAATTCCAATTCCTATGAACCAAAAAGGCTGGCATTTGCACAGGCCTTGTTTCAGTTTTTAAAGATGTTGTGGCTGTTAGGTCACAAAAAATACGCCCCTTTTTTTAAATAATATGTGGTGTATACTATTCGAATTTGATTTGAAACATAAATTATTCAACCAAAGTCACTCTTCTTTTGAACGTGAAATTCACTATTCGCACAAGCCTAGAAAAAAAAAACACAGACTAAAAAAAGGGGCCTGTCTGGACAGGTGTTGGTCCTATCCTTAGGCATGTTCAAAGCTTTCTCTTGACTTTGCCTTTATTAGTGTAATTTGTTGCCTCATGCTACAGTAGGATGGGATGGCTGTTTTTGCCTTTGAAAACCTGGTGCCGAACTTTCTTGTGTGACATTCTAGTGTGCAGCATGCCTCATAAACTTCGTGGTGGGCTGGTTTATGATCAACAGTCGTGAGTACTTAAGGGGAGACATGGAAATGAAAGCTATCTTTGTTATTTATGAAAATGAAGTGATGAAATTTGTCATGCAGATGTCATTTGTTATGCTGGTATCATAATTGAAATCGGTTTTGAGCTATGTGTTGTAGTTTGAGCTACAACACTTGATACACTTTCACTGTCATCCCAAAATAATGAAATAATTAGACGTATGTTCATCAAAATTTTTGCATAAGGATATTCACAAGGACCCATTCTGTGCCATAGTGCTATTGGTTCTTTTTTATATATCTAGGTAAGCACGCAAAAACTTTTTTTAATGGCCTGGGCATATTGTCTTACTAACAACATCTACGAAAAGCCAGTTATAAAAATCTGTGCAAAAATATGGGCAGCTTTATTTACGGCACTCACCAATGTCTCAGAATCTAAGCGTAGAAAACTAATGGCTTTATCTTCATTTCTTGTAAAATAGCACCGGGATGACTGACAGCAACTGCTTAAAAAGTGAAAGCTTAGAAAATGGAGCTCAAAGCAATTGCAGCTAGAAGCTAAGGAAACAGAACTCTGAAAGAAGCTGGCTTTATTTTTCATAGAAGAAATGCAGCTTTGTGGCTATCTTGAGCTCTCTGTTCCCATTATGAAGATGCCAATATGGTGGTACTGTGCCAAGGGAAAGCTGCCGATTCGCATTTTCTAAATCCCAATTTTCACATGGCTTTTGACGACAGCCCACCTGTAAAATGCCTTTTTTCTCAACTTCTACTACTTATTTTAGTCTAATGTTTTGCCATGATGTAAAATGTGGTCTTAGGATTGCAGAAAAAAAATAGATTGAAAAATTGATTTGACCGAATTTAGCATTTCCATTGCCACGTCCCCCCTTAAAAATATGGTACTCATAACAAGATACTCTTATCATGTGGTTCACAAATTTTCAGAGGTTCAGTTGTCCCACCCAAGCACTATCAGTGCCACTTGTATGCTTGTTCAGAAGCAATTTCCCATGTTCATTCATTAAATGCTTTTGTAGTTAGTGGAGGGGTGTTCTTTATGATTATTTTATTATTAAAAATTATTATTTCCATTTGCTGGTGCACAAGCCATCAGTTCAGCTTCCTCTTGTTGTATAAATAGTTTACAATGTCTATAGCACTTCGACACTTTGCGTTTTCCTGAACAGGAGCAGCAGCTACAGGAGGACATTCAAGATGAAGAAGAACGGAAACGCCGGTCACAGAGCTTAAGAAATCAGCGGAGTGAGGTATTTTTTTATAGTTTTGTCACTTTAATCAGCTGCTTTCCCTTCAAGGTGATGACAGCTAGTTGAATGTAATACAGGGTTTTGTGCACAACTAAAAAAAAAAAGAACAAGAGTGTAGCTGATAAATTTGTTTTAATTCATGTGACAATAAAGCCACAGTCATTAAAGAAATGAGACGTCTAGAGTGGCTTTCATGCATTTTAGGTAGTGGTGTGCTAGCAATGAAATTCTCTGATCTATATGTGTATGAATATTTTAGAAAAGTGAGCAGCTCAGAATATGTAATATTGTCAGATTTCTTAATTAAGCGACATAAAATTCAAAACTTGCACTAAAAGTATTAATGTTAATCTTGAGGCACAAAACTGATAAAAATTATGCCCGTATAACTGAGAACCTAGTAGATTATAATCAGTTGGCCTTAATTTATCTAACAGAATGTAGCCATGATTTTACTGAAATATGTTACCAGATTACTGGAGGGGTCAAAAGTTCCCAGGGCGCTATTCCATGTATTTCTATGACAGTGTGACCTGGAAACTTTCGACCCCCCCCCCCCCTGTACATAGTGAATTTTAGCTTGAAGCGAATTCGTAGCAAATAGTGATTTTGGTCGAATGATTTTGAATCGAATTCGAATAGTATATATGACATATAAAGAAAAACGGGCATATTTATTATGAGCTAACTAATCTGCACAATATTTTTAAAAAATTCAAATAGGGCCTTTATGCAAATGCCTTTTTTTTTTTTTCAGTCAAAAGAAGTCTAAAAAATTTTGAGTAGTAGCAGGATTTGACTTTCAGCAGGATGCGAGTCATAACATTTAAAATATGTAACATTTTAAGATGTCTTATATTTAGAGCATATAAGCAGTCATAACTACCCTTTAAGCTTAATAAAATGAATTGATTTCAGAGTAATGTTTTCTTTTAAAGGGGACGTGCAACACTTTTTTAAGTAGCCTTGGGATGGATTTACTAAAAAAGCTTATTTATTGCCTCATGATTTCACTGCTGCGAATATTTTCAGAATCTGCCTAGTATGCGTGGAGTTGGGAAGATTTCTTGCACACTGCAAGTGCATTCTCTCTTCTCGTCCTGACAATAGCGCTGGAAGCTAAGCAGGAGGGATGGCACGTGGAAAGAAACCACGTCACGCATGCTTTCTGCATTTGCGAAGTTATATCGTGAAAGTAGAGAGCAATTTTTAGCTGACTTCGAGAATTTATTGTGAATCACATGCCGCGTGCTGTGCCATAATATTTGGTTGCCTGTCCTTGCTAGCCTCGACTACCGATCGGCAGTGTTTTCTCACAATGCTCAAGAAGTGTTGCAGGTCCCCTTTAAATTTAAAAGAGAGCTTTGCAGCAGAGCAGATTACACCTGGATCTCATGGTTTAGCACCCCTACACTGCAGTGAAACCACCTTTACAAGCAGTACATTCGGGCTAATATACAAATATTCGTTCCTAGCGAATACTTCGAAATTGTCAATAATTTAAATTCGAATCAAAGTGAATCCGAATACCCTACTATTTGTTCGAATATTCGAAGCATTCGAATATTCGCACAAGCCTACTGAGTTATGTTATTTGCACGATTTGGTACAATCATAATGGTGTCGCAACACTTCGCATGCGAAGAAGTAAAGAGTTGTGAGGAGGTGAGCTATCTCTCGCATAAACCATAAAATAAAAGCAGCCACAGAACTGTTCCCATGAAAGCAATGAACCACCACCGCTCCTAGCCTCACGTCATATGTTAGAGCACTGTCTGCTTTGTCCATTGTTCCGTGCGTGGGCAAAAGTAATACAGTAGACTCTCAGTTAACAGAACTAGGGAGCTATTCTCACTGCATCTACCTTGTGGGCATGTCCACTTCGGTCGAGTGCATTCAGTAACTCAAAAATGCGGTGAGCCGTTACGTCATGGTGCCCCGACATCGGCGCACCGAACCTGCCAGCATATTTCTAGCGTAGAAGAAAGTGGATAAACTGTACAGTAGCGGGACATTTAAACACAGTTCTGAACTTGTGTGTGAACAAGTTCAGGTGTTTGAGAACGATGCAAGGAATGCATGCCAGCCTTCCAGGTACATTAGGATGGTGGCTGCGTGATTCCCAATTCAAGGGCTAACGTTATTGCAGTTCTTGCACGGCCTCCAATATAACGGTCTCAAAGTAAATCTGGGGACAGCATTTGATGTGTTTAAACGCATTTCATTCTTCTCATTTGTGTTGAGAGTTGGGAAAGCTTTGAGACTCAAAATGACATTGCCGAAGAAGGACCTGAAACGGGGGGCACAGCTTCCCGAGCTTCAGCCAGCCAGTGGAGGTTGAAGTAGGCAGTCCACCAGGTGGACACATAGAAAATCGGGCCTTGCTGCTTTAATGGAACAAATGCTTCTGATATGATTGATATGAAGTCTGCAATGCTGTTGATTTCTGCAAAAAACAGAACTCCTATTTAATGTAACATATTATCCTAGATCTTTCGGGTTCTGTTTAATGAGTTTTAACGAGTGCCTGCTGGAATTAGATAATCACTAGTATAGTTAGATGTTTTAACATGATGGCATTGCAGTGCACACTCTATGAAAGACCACTCTAAAAATAGGAGAGCTCTTCTACTCATCTATTTCAGAAAAACTTTGTTAAATCAGGTTCAGGGCCAAGTTAGATTCATTTCTTCAGGTTCATGACAACATTAAATAAACTAAGTGGTTTTTTGTTTGGTAATGGTAGTTTTTTCATTTGATCGGGACCTTCGTAACATCAGGTTTCATCAGACAGTTTTAGTTGTATATAATGCACATGCATTCACGTGTGAAAACTAGAGGTGTGCGAATATTCAAAATTTTGAATATTTTTCTAATAGTGTTTGCTATTTTATTCGATTTGAACAGTAGTTTTACTATTTCAACTTCTTGAAAACAAATAGTAAACATCAGATTTGGCAGTAACCCCTTCAAACTTTTAATATGCTTCACCCTATCACACTCTCGTGTTGCGGCAAAGCGGCCTTCTAGGCTCTGCTTTGGTTTTAAATGTATGGACTCAAGAAAACGCTGGTTCTAACAAAAAAAAAAAATAATGGATGTGGCAGAAGTTTGAGCTTGATTGACGCTATTTTTGGATCTCAAATTTGGGCAGGAAGTCTGAAAAATTGTATGTCGGATTTTTAGTGTGCGAAATTTCAGATGTTCTAATATATATTGATGTCTATGGGGCAGATTTAGAACTGCAGACTCGAAGGGAGCATACCCTTGTCTACCACATCAGTTTGGATTCCAAAGAAGTTGAAAGGAGAGAAGATGCTGATGAAATAGCATCTTTGCCATTCATGTGTTAAAAGTGTTGTCGGCAAAACTTTGGTTGTACCAAATTGTGTACATAAATAGTAGGCCTGTGCGAATACTCAAATGCTTCCAATATTCGAATGAATAGTAGGGTATTTGGATTCATTTCTATTCGAATTTAAATTATTGAAAATTTTGAAGTATTCGCAAGGAATGAACAAATGCATATTATTCCGAATGTGCCACCTGTAAAGGTGGTTTCACTGCAGTGTATTGAAGCTAAGCTGTGAAAACATCTAAAATGTATGTTAGTTTGCATGTATTTTTCAGTAAAAATGGTTTCCCTGCAACAAAGGACTGCTAAGCTGTAAGAGCATCTATCCAAGAAAACTCTACACTGCCTTGTTACCCTCACATTGATTCACGTGAACATATTATCCTCACAGTGATTCATCATTTTGTAAGTTTAAAAGCTTCTTATACCAGCTCATATGTTACAATTATAACATATTTTACACCTTATCACTTGCATTTACTGAAAGTAGAATCCTGTTACTACAGTAAAATCTGACCCCGCCGTGGTGGTCTAGTGGCTAAGGTACTCAGCTGCTGACCCGCAGGTCGCGGGTTCGAATCCCGGATGCGGCGGCTGCATTTCCGATGGAGGCGGAAATGTTGTAGGCCCGTGTGCTCATATTTGGGTGCACGTTAAAGAACACCAGGTGGTCGAAATTTCTGGAGCCCTCCACTACGGCACCTCTCATAATCATATGGTGGTTTTGGGACGTTAAACCCCACATATCAATCAATCTGTCAACAGTAAAATCTCGGTATAACGAACTTTAGGGGACCATGGCAATTTGTTCATTATTTTGAAAGGTCTTTATAGTGAAAGCCCAAAAATTAGCAATGAAAATCATAATTAACCATAAATAATCATTTACCACCGACCAAAACGACTTACTTCTACAATGATGGTTGCTTGAAATCGTTTTTCATGATAAGCCCCGCCGCGGTGGTCTAGTGACTAAGGTACTCGGCTGCTGACCCGCAGGTCGCGGGTTTAAATCCCGGCTGCGGCGGCTGCATTTCCGATGGAGGCGGAAATGTTGTAGGCCCGTGTGCTCAAGTTTGGGTGCACGTTAAAGAACCCCAGGTGGTCGAAATTTCCGGAGCCCTCCACTACGACGTCTCTCATAATCATATGGTGGTTTTGGGACGTTAGACCCCACATATCAATCAATCAATCAATGTTTTTCATGATAAAAAACAAATGCGCAAGTGAACATCAAAAAATGCACGTTTTCTTAAAGTCTGTGATTTTTTTTTTTTTTTTTTTGGCACGTGCAGCACAAACTTAGCAGAGCGAAGGCCTCCACCTCATCCACATTCTCCACTTTCTCCTTAGTGAAAACTCCTTCCGCTTCTTGGTCGCAAGCAGAGATGAACTCACTGTAGTAGCAGCGCGAACGCGGACTTGCTTTGCAGACGCAATAAGTAATAACTGAAAAGATGAACACAACTGAGAGGCCTCTTCAGGGAACACCTATACCCCTTAGGCCTCCTAGATCACATGTAGAAGTGACAAAGATAAGAAAAACCTGAAGTGTCATGGCTGTCATCGCCTCTTCCGAAGAAAAGAAAGAGCTGAAAAAAAAATTCCTCGCGTTTCGTTTGCTGCTCCCTCGCTGCCTTAGATTTTCCGTGCCCATGATTCCTGCCCCGCAACTCCCACTCTGCCCTCTGCCTTGCTGACCTTGCCCTCCCGTGTTGCCCTCAGCCCTCGCCTCTGCACTTGTAAACCTGCAGCGTCGGCGTTTCAATAAAAATAAAGAAAAGAAAGTCGTCCTTTAGTTTTTTTTCTCCTTCACACCGTTGCGCATCTTCCAAGATGCAAGGCGTTCGTTCGCTTTGTCGTCTGCTCAGGTACCGCTCCGGTGGTCGCGATGGATTTCAGAACACGAGTTCGTAGTACTGAGGGGTTGCTAATATAATGTTAAACTAAATTAGTGCTCGTTATTTTGAAAAGTTCGGTATTCTGTAGTACGTAGTAGTGATATAATTTCACATTAAAACTATTAGCAGTCGGTGTGGGATATTTTAAAACTTCGTTAGTCGGAAAAGTTTGTTAAAGTGGTGTTCGTTCTATCGAGATTTTACTGTATTCAAAGTTCTTCCACAATAGTATTTGCACAGGCGTTGTTTCAATTCTTTAAAAGTATTGGGCTGGTTAGTTAGGTCATGACAAATGTGCTCATTTTTCTTTATGATATGTGATATTATACTATTAGATTCGATATTGTTCAGCCAAAATTACTATTTGCTTCAAACCTAAACTTCACTATTCGTATATGCCTAATCAACTCAATTCAGCCTCTGCATTGCCTCATTCTTGATAAGACAACTATGAAATGCCACCGTGCCAGAATTTTATGAAGCTAGCCAAAAGAAAAAACACACTCATGTTACTTTTTGGTAAAAACATGTTTAGCAATCCTCTCCAATTTTGTTTTTTAAACTATTTGCTTCAGAGTACCACCATATTTACTCGCATAATAGGCGCGCTTTTTTTTTTTTTTTTAAATCCGGCTCGAAGTTAGAGGTGTGCCAATTATGCAGAGTAAAATTTTTAAAAATTGTTTCGACTCTGTTCTCGCGCTTTAAATCTGCACATTTGTCAAGTAAAAGACGACTTTATCGTTTACCAATTAAATCAGCATAAAACAAAGATACCTTTTAAAGAACAAGGTACCTTTTAATGAACAAGCGAGAGCCATCAACTGCACACACACACACACACGTAAAATTTATTTACACAAAAGTCGTAGGTGTTCCTCCTTTTCCCTATTCGGAGTCCGAGGCGGAGAGCACACATTCATCCTCGCAGAGCGGGGATTCGTTTTCGGTGTCCAAATCATGCACATCCCACAACATGCCATCCTCATTCGCATCCAGTGCGTTCAAGGTACCAGTCCACTTGAAGCTTTTCCTGACGACTTTGTCGATGATGGCCTGCCAGGCTTCCATGATTCAAGCGCCCAGAATTTCAACAATCGGCCTCATAATCCTACCAACTGGAGTCACGTGATGATGTCCTCCAGCCATCCAGGTGGTGTACAGCCTTCGAACATTGTCCTTGAAAGGCTTATTCAAGGACACGTCCAAAGGCTGCAGTATCGATGTGAGGCCGTCCGGAATCACTGCCAGATCTGTGCGCAGCTCCCCTAGCTCATCTCGTACGCGGTCTACTAGGTGCGCACGAAAACTGTCCAGGACAAGCATGAACAGGAACAGCAGACCACCCGGCTGCCGACCCCAGACTCTTTTCACCCAATCCACCATGAGTTCCGCGCTCATCCCGCCTTTTTCCGTGACTCTGACGTAGATGCCTTGAGGAAAATTGGCCTTTGGGAGCGTCCTACGTTTAAAAGTAATGTAAGACGGTAGCTTGCACCTATCTGCTATCACCACCAGCATTACGGTGCATCGTTGTTCATCAGCACCAGATGTTCTGACGATGACGCTCCGTGCACCTTTCTCCTCCACTGTCCTGTTCCGCGGCATATAAAAGCTAAGAGGGGTCTGATCGGTGTTGCCGATCTGGGACAAAATGAAGTCTTTTTGCTGTCAGAGCTTTATAACGAAACGGTGGAAGTCCACCACTTTGTCCTCATATGCTGCAGGCAAGCCATGGCACCGCAAGAAACAAGTTGTCCATCCGGAGCTGGCTTTTAACTCTTTTACTGCGATGTGCTGCGTTCGGGCTATTTTGTGCGCCTCAATCTGCACAATATCCAATGACACAGCACAACCGTCTTGTCGTAGTTCCCGTATATGCCGGACCAGTTGCTATTCGACGTTCGAATACCTGCCGGTCTTGGCACCGTGGAAAGCCTGTCGTGTCTTTTTCGTCTCCTAAGTTTTCCTTCTTGATCCCTCCAGTACCAAATACTAATTTCTCCAACACGGAAATGCCTGCTTGCAGCCCGGTTGCCGTGCTCCAGCTCGCACTGCACTGCCTTCAGTTTAAATCCAGCCGTGTAGCTTGTGTACATCTCCATGGTGGAACCAAAGTTGAATACATGACCACAACATATGCACACCGCTTGCCAAATGGCGTTTTTTTTTTCTTTTTTCTCCAATGGTGGTGATGGCGATCGAGCCCCTGGCGTTTTACACGTGGACTTGAAGGAGCGCGATTTGGGGGGTATCAGTAGTTGATGGAACAGCCTTTTTTTTTTTGCTCATGGGCGCTTTCTTTTTCCAGTTTTATTTCTACAAACACGTTGGTTAGGTCATTGCACTTCGAATTTTTTTTTTATTTGCTCGTCGATTTGCCTTATTTTTTTATTCAGGGTACGGGGACTGCGTTTCGACTGAACCGCTAGGGGTGTGAATCGTTTCTGATCACGACCAAGTTCGGGGTGCGCCTACTATACACGGAATTTAAAAAATAGAATTTTCAGCGACCAAACTAGGGTTGCGTCTATTATGCCAGTGCACCGATTATGCGAGTAAATACGATATTCGAAAAATATTTTAGAAATATTGGAGAAATGTTCAATTCAATTTGCACTCAATGTTTGAATTCACTTGGGACTGAAAATTTTGCTATTCGCACAGCTCTAGTGACAACCCAAGAAGTCAAAATTAAATCTGAAAGAGAATGGGAAGATACTCGTCATAATAAGTACTACCGTATTTACTCGATTCTACCGCGCCCTCGATTGTAATGCGCACCCGATTTCCACCGCGAAAAAAAAAAAAAAAACGTAAGACATCGATTGCAACGCGACCCATTTTTCTCGCTGGCCCGCACGATAACACCACTCGAAAAAACGACTCCTTTCGGGAGCGTCTTCCATTTAAATATGAGGTACGGGCGAAGCTTGTGCATTGCCGTCACTGTAGTTTTACCGTGGACCGATGCCAGTACGCGAACTTGCTTCGCCCCCTTCTTCTCAATGGTTGTGATGCCAGGCATGTCGAAGTAAAGAGGCGTCTGATCGGCATTCCCAATTTGCCCAAGCAGGTAGCCGTTGTTGTGCCGCAAGTTTAGGACGAACCTCTGAAAACTGAAGCTTTTCAGCGTACTCTTCCGCAAAACTTTTCGCACATGCATGTTCCCCTTCGGAGGGAGAAGCCTTTCCTCTTCATAAAGTTAGTTAGCCAGCACCTGCTCGCTTTAAACTGGCTCCGCATTAGACCTTTTTCTAAGAGTAATTGCATAGCCCGCACTTGGAGCAGTTCTGTCGTCACGGGCCGCTGTGCCGCTCGCTGCTAAAGCACATACTCGCCGAGCAGCTCTTTAATTTGCGCAAAACGACCCTGCTGTGGTCCACTGGAAGCCTTTGCGTGAAGTTTTGCTGTCGACAATCTTCTGCTCTTGTTTCCGCCGGTCCCGCACGCACGTTTCGGGAACTCCGAACAACCGCGATGCGGCCCGATTTCCGTCCGTTTCTGCACACGCGATGACTTTTCTTTTAAACACGGCATCGTGGTGTACTCGAGTTTTTGGAGTCGGCCCTCCCACGCCGTCGATGCTAATGCACTACTAGAAGACGAACTCCTCAGCACACGTACGAAGTGCCGCACATGGGAAACACATAGGCAGAAATGGCCGGCACGCCATGCCGACGCACGTAGGGGGCGGCCAGTTTGGATTTGCCGATGGCAATAGATTGACCATAATTTTTTTGTTCGTACTCGATTCTAACGCGCATGCGATTTATGAACTCTCTTAACCGGTAAAAAGGTGCGCATTAGATTCGAGTAATTACGATAAGTTTTTTTTTTTTTTTTTTACCTGTGTCGTTTACTCGTGCCCTAGAATGTAACCTCCTTGCCGGCCGAGACTCAGTCAAACACTAGAATACTGAGGCTTTCACACAAAGCATAAATGGAATGTTACATAAATATTATTTCAGGTGGCACATGGGTGCTGAGAGCTGACCTAAAAGAGCTGCATCAATGTGTCTCTCATGAAACGTGTGTTCGTGTAATCCAAACTTTTATTACTCGAACCATTGTTATGGTGTTTTCTGTGTAGTGTTGACCAGGAGAAGTGTCAAATGCAGGGGAAAAATTTTTGGTGTGCAGGAAGCACAAGCGCTGATTGCCCAACGGACCGTCAACGCAAAGGCCATGTTTGAACCCACCACGTACACTGGTACCTATGCCTCCCAAGCGGCTAGTAATCAAAATCATGTGTCTGCGCAACACAGTAATCATGAAAGCATGTCCTCAAGAGTAAGTATTGCGAAGTTGGCCTTTCTGTGAACTGCTCTGGCGCACTAAAAATTGATTTTCATATGTCACCGCACATAATTCGGCATTTGAGTACGAAAAAGTATGAAGCGGACCCACATCTGCGACTTGTAGAAAGGAAAAAAGAAAGAAATGCTCACACTTTACACCAAACCTAGCTTCGTGCCTAAGCTTGTGCTGCTACTTGCTGCAAAATTTTAAGCCTGGTCAGTTTTATCATCAATTCAACGAGTAATGCCATTGGCACTCTTACCACCATTGGTGCTGTTGTTTCAAAAATAGACTGGCTTGATGATGTTTGAATGTGGCAATTTTATGGGCACATTGTGAACTTCGTTGACGGGCCGTCCGCACCACAAGTCCTTCTCACATTGCCCGAGTGAGCCATGCAGTTAGAACACAGCTTTTCAAGACAATCGCATCTTCTAAGGGACGTTTCAATGATTTAGTCTTTTTTATATAGATATTTTATTCAGTATCTCTTTAAGATGTGTTTTACCAAAGGTATTTTTTGATTGATTCATTATTGGACTAGTCAAGAAAAAGTGCAGCTGTTCCAATGCCTCTGGGATACGAGCTTCACTGCCCAAGCAGACTCTCTTCCTTTGTGTTGACCAGCATCTGCAAGCGGTGCTTGTTCTGTACGTTACTCTATATGCAGGAGGTGTCATGTTCACAGGACAAGCCACACCTCCTTCCTTTTCTTCTTTTCTTATTTTTGTTTCACAGCTTGGGTACATATCAGTGGCAGCATTGTAGGCTATGCACTGGTTGAAGAACTGAAGTCGCACGTTATTGTCAGTTATGTTCCAAAGAAGACCTGTTACGTAGTCTTGGAATGCTTGTGGCTTTCATTTTCTCTGACAGTGTGACTCACTTAAAAGGAAAGGTGCATGGCTTTCGATTGCTCAAAGTTGTGCAGGTTTGGCATTGTGCAGACTTTTATACGTCGCAGTCACAATTACAATTGAGAGATCTATGCACGACACTTGTTTGTTTGCAATGGTTAACCCTTTAATGCCTGAATTATCAAACTGCCAAATAAAATAAAACTTGTTTTCGTTTTCCAGCTTTAAATAGCAACCTTTGAATGATTCCACAGTTAAATTATCTAAAATGCACCCTTAATGCATACTTTTATGTATGGCGCGAATTCTCAGTATGCCACAAAAGCGAGGACTTTGCAATGAAAAATGCACTTCAGAACCATGCAACAGGTCGTGTGCCACACCTTGAGTGTGTACACACCAAATAAACAAATTTACTGAAGATAGATTTTGCATCAGCCAGGTGAGAAAGAACGAAGAAGTGAGTGTTCTTGCATGCACCTTGTACCCTCTGCAATCAGCTACAAAACAATTGGTTCTAGCATAAAATATATTACCCAAGATAGTGCTAGATTTTTCATGCTAAAAGCTACGTTCCCCAGGAGTACTTGACAGTCTGTATTAAAGGTGACACGCATTCTGTGACTTGCTTGCTTGCAGTTTTTCGGTATGTCGCGCAGTCACGACATTAGGCAGTGAAAGGTTAACCCCAGTGAGAGGGGCCCTCAAACAGTCTTCTATTTATGATGCGAGTACAGCAGTGCTTTACGTCATTCGAGACCACTGCAGAAAGAGAAAATATTCGAGTTTAGTCTTCGTGAAGTCATCAAGAATACTATACTGTGATATGATCACTGAAACTTAACTAAGTACAGTGAGACGTCAACACTGCTGTATTACTCACCACAACAGTACTGTGAAGAAGAGTTAAACTAAGTATTGCACTCAGGCAGCAAAGGGGGAAAAAAAACATGAAATCTGTTGCATGTAATTACTCCAAATAAAGTGTGCAATATTTGAACACATTGAAAAATGCATAAAAATCTAATAAAAGTAGAAATGATCGAGACACCTTCAGTACAGCTATTACTTAGCAAATACATTATTATTATTACTATTGTTATTATTATTACCACTATTATTGTCATTGTTAGGGGTGTGCGAATATCAAATTTTTCTAATAGAAATATGTAGCTTCAAATACAAATCGAACACCAAATAATCATGAAATGCCATTTTTTTCACCAGTAATCTTTTACTTTACTATATATTTATGCTTAAAACAGCACACTTGTTAGCTATTCTAGTCCGTTACTGTGCAAGAAAATAGCACCATCTATACTTCTCGGGAAGCATACGACTGTGCTAACTGTGATGTCTTCGATTAAACAAACTTTTCTATGTTTTTTTTATATGGCAGCACTGCATTACAGAAAAAAAGAAAGCTTTTGTACCTGCCATGATGGCAGGTACAAAGGCTTTTTTTCTTCTTGCCATTGTCATATTTAACGCCCATGTGCTTAAACATTTATGCGATTGTGAAGGCATCTTAGGTGGTCACAATTTATTTGTGTTCTCCAACTATCAGTTCTGTCACAACCAACCCCAAATTTTATTGTTTTATTTTTAATACCTCTGTTCTTACTGGCTCACACAGTGATTTCACTCCTGCGCCAACTGCGCCAAAGTCTGCAAATTAGATTCACTGTGCCATCCTGAAAATATCTGTGGAAATCGCGCCAAACTATGACAAAGTCTCGGATTTGGGGTCGTCTATAGCCACGCCAGCTTTCAAAACATGTGCAACTTGTTCTCGGGGTCGCCAAAGTTGCACCCATGTACCAAGAATTATTCCACTCAATAAATAGTAGTTGCCTGTGCATCCCAAGAAAACCACGATGCAATGATTGGTGCTGAAGCATCTTCTGCTGTGCAAGTCGACTTGACTTCAAAAGGCGCTCTCCCCAGAGGCTCATGATGTGTAGGTTAGTCGGTAACGTGAAAGTTGGTGTGGTCTTCTCCATATGCTGCGGCACTCGCAAGCTTGGAGGCGACTTCGCCAACTGGTGTGGCTTCTGTGTGGTCTTGTTGTCTGGTGTAGGGAGTAGCAACATAGCTTCTCCTTTCTTCGGGGTATAACACAGCTCGCTGCCGGTCGTGTCTGCTGCTAGACATTCTGCAAAGCTTTCACTGGGGTGGCCGCACTTGGTATTCATAGCAGAGCATGTGAATGGTGGGAACGTGCTGTCACTTGTCCTCATACTTCATTCATGGATCTTCATCCAGAATAGCTGTTTGATAATTCCTTGCCGAGCACATCTGTGTTCTTAATCGCTCTTGCAGGAATTAGCCCCCTAAAAGGCCCTGGCAGAGTTCATGACTACTGGAGTCCCAGTTCAAATTTGCTTGTTTTTTTAAAAGTGTCCTCCCATTAGTAAAACCATACCTGCTGATCGCAGCTGCAATTCAGTTTTAATATGCGCAGCTGTAGCAGGCCTGTCGCCGATGGCCCTACTATCGGAAGGGCCGCTGTGAAGTGGATGCACCATGTTACACACCCGCCCTTCACTCTCCAAAGTCAACAGTTGACGGTTAAAAAAAAAAAAATCATGGTCGCTTTGGGCGGTGAAGGGGGGGGGGGGGTGAAGAAGGCTGCGTCGCTCAAAGGGCGCAGTTGATGGCTCGCGTTGTCTTGAGGCATCATGAGACATTGCTCGCAAACTTGTTGGGCTTGGGCTCTCAACATTTGCTTCTTTTTTATAGAACTGACAACATGATAGTCACCTTCGCACCTGGGCTGGCTATATTCCCCTTAACTAGTGTTCTGTCGAGTTCTCACGTAACTGAACAAGGTGGTGGTTTAAAGGGAAAAGGTCTGCTCCAGGGAGAGAAGCACTTTTCGTCGCAGTCTCTATGCATTGGGATTACAGCGCATAGAAGAGTATTCGAGCCATTGATTGATGCCTGCCGAGATAGCGCCCGCACGAGAGATCACGACCACAGCCTCCCTTCCTCCCCACTTGCATTGCTTCAGTCTTTTTGAAGATGGGTGGAATGTTTACTCTCTATTCGAGTCACAATCCATGGCAGGGTTGGCACGTGAAGGGATGTTATCACATGCACTCCCCGTGCAACGAACATGGGTCTCCTCTTTTTATCTCTGCTTCAGCCTCATTCATCACTCCTCACTGGCACACTTTCACTAGAGTGTAAAACTCAAGCTTTGTGAAGGGATGCTATTGATTTAGACATTACACAAAACATGATGGCTACTGCTAAAAAGTTGAGAATCTGCATAATTGTTATCACAATGCAAAGAAAATGGCTTTCGTCTTCTTGTCATTTTTGGCTAATGCAAAAGGTACCCGGTGCATTTTTTTTCTTTACTGCTCCTTAGAGGTCACTGTTTTATTTTTATATGTACAAACAGAATGTCCTAGCCACTTGCAACTTTCCTGCAAAAAGAAAATGAATTTTGGTAAATCATGTTTTCCTCCGTTAAAAGCAATTTTATAAACTTTTGCAAAAGCTTGATTGAAGAGGATCTCCATATCTTTGAAGCAACCTGGCGCATGCACTAACGATAGTCTTCAAGCACTGTGAGGATGCTTTTGCACAAGCACAGAGAGGGCTCAGAGAGAAGAAAGGGAATGTCAGAGGAGGTTGGCTTTATCAGGCTAGCTAAGTGATGTCATGTTACGCCCAGCACCATGATCAATCGTGAAGAAAACGAGCGTTTTTTCTCCTTAGAGTTGTCTTAGGGGAATGCACAAAGGACTGTGGAAGTTTTTAGCGCTGAGGCATTGTTGTACGTTGCATAGTGGAAGTTTTTAGCACTAAGACATTGTTGTACGTCACAGCGTTTGTCTACCTTGTATGCTGATGAGCAGAATGATGTATTTATTTAGAATGGTATTTTATGAAGTACAATTTTATTGATCCAGTATTCTCTTTATTTGCTAGTGTTCGAAATAATCTGAACAGGTTCAATCTGAAAAACTTGAACAGGTTGTTCCAGAACGCTCAACTGTTTGATTTTCTTACTTTTTCATTATCAAGTAAAAGAAGGAGTGCTCCTGAAATGGTTGGCTTCATGAGATTGGCAATAAATCAAAATATTTCTAGCGCTTCATAAGAGCCCCATATTAATTGTTC